TCGGCCTCAACTTCGGAAAATTTTTTTCTAAGTTCAGGAATTTCAGCATTCTCCTTTCTAAGTTCAGTAATCTCGGACGCAAACCTAGAGTTTAATTCTCTCAAGGTATTGATTGTTAATTGATCATTCGACATTGTTTTATTACAAAATAGGATATATTCAAAAGGTTAATCACACGAAAATTTATTGGTGAAAAAATTGCATTAACGAGCCTTTGCTTTATTGATTGTAATAAAATCGAAAAGAATCAAATCTATTTATTGTTTCTATGCTATCGCCTACACTATAATTTTTTATTGTCTGAACTATCTATGCTAACTCCATATCTCAATAATAATAATTATAGTCCGGTTCACATGTTGCCGACATTCTGGATAGAATAAAAATGGTTATCAGTTATACCCATATGAAACGTGCAGTGTCAAAAAGGAATTAACAATATTAACCTTATCAAAAATCCGCTGAAATACGTTGCCTGCCTTCTGTGATACTAATAAATCCGAAATGCACCGTCACAACCGAAAGAATATTCATTAGTTTGCAAGCCCGTAATATTCATCGTGTTCGGGTCTATAGATTTCGAAAACAAGTTTTTCCGGCTATTATGACGTCTAATAGTAGTACAGTTGATGAATAGGGTCCCATGATTTTATGTGCATGATAAGTATGACAGAATAAATTCGAATGTAATAGAAATTCGCGATAACCTAGCCATGTCAAAAAAATACTTCGAACGTCCATGTTCCGAATGGAATATTTTGGGATTCTTGAACAAATGTGAAGAGAATCAGTTCAATGATTTCGAAGTGAATATATCATATTACCTTTTATGTCTTGAAGCTATATCTAAAGAAGAAGGATCCAGGAGTAAAAAAGCCCAAGTTTTGCTCGATCGATATAGAAAGGCGAGTACTGGGTTTTTTGGGGGGTGGAAAATGGGTGGCAAAGGATTCCCTGAGGTTTTTTGTCACCGGCGGTATTGAGGCACAGGTGGCTCCTTGAGGTCTACTGTGTTCAAGGTTCTTAAGCTGACTCAGTACCGGCCCTGTTGGAGCTCAAACAACTCCTTGAGGTTGTTTGATGTTCAAGGTTCTTAAGCTGATCCAACAGTTAAATGGGTTAAGGAAATTATGGGGTTATAGATAATCGGGTTGGTTGTCAAAAATATTCAAATAACAGACTCTTTTATATGTCAGGATCCTAAACCCGACTACAAAATTGCGCGAAACTGGGAAGCGGAGCGCGTCAAGAAACAAGTCCATCTCCATAATCCGACATTTGTTGACCAAGGCATTGGGACTATAAGTGGCGGGACATCCGGAACTATAAATGGGTTCATTGTTGAATCTTCAAAGAGAGAGACACCGGTTCCTGAAAATCAGGCACGCATTATTGGTTATAACTATTATTTTGCATTTGTTTCTAATACATCTACAATTTTAATCTATAGGACTATAATAAAGTTCCCAAAAGAACAAAAATCGAAGATTGGTTTCGACCCTCTACTCCGCCACATCAAATCTATTCGCGAAATGCTTATCCCCTTGGGTCCAGGAAGTAATTATATTCTATCTCGTAATAATGTCTTGTTAGCCTTTTTGATATTTATTTAATGCAAAAATAAATCACAACAGTGCAATGATAATGAATCATATGTTCATTATGAGTCCTCTGATTTGGATAATGGAAAAAATCACGGAGAGATTAATAATGACATTGACAATATTGCTAATGAAGAAATATATCTTTTATCTCAAGAGGTAATATTACTCATTTACACAATTTTAAAATTGTAGAATACTCATCTGGTCTATGTTCTATTTTCAGACTCCACAGAATGTGACGGAAGACGTCTACAAAATTATCGAAAAAATAAAATCCATTAACTACCGATTATTTGATTATAAAATCATCAACCTTTCAGAGCGAAATATTACAAATCCCGTTAATAAGTTATCAAGTTCTGAAAAACATATCCTAAAAGATACTTGGAACTCGGTATTGCATTGTCTGTTTGTAAGCTTAATATTTTAGTGAAAATTTAATAATTTTGTTTTATCCTTTATAGTTAGAGCCATCAGATAGATCAAAAACAATTCGTTTTGAAAAATGGAAAAAAATTATAAATCCCCTTGTACAAAAGTACCAACCTCATTTAGAAAGTAAATCCGTATTTGATGTAATTTCCTTGAGTGATACTATTGAGGTCGTTCTTGAAAAACCATATACCGGAAAATTTATTCATAAAGAGCATTATGATCTTATATGGGTACAGGATATTTATAAACGATTGTGAGTATAAATATTTGTGATTATTGTCATTTCCATTTGTGACATTTAAGTTTATACCATCTATTTTTAGTCTATTTCTTTTCGATGCACCCACCAACTTACTATCGGACCCAGATCAATGTGAGCTTTCTTATTGAGAAAATTTTATAAATCCCATTATTGTTAAAGTTTTTGACGACATCATGGATTTAATCAAGGTAAAAACGTAAGTATCTGATCTACCATTGTTTATTTATTATCTATGCCTTTAATCGCTAACCGGTTGTCCTTGCACAGAGGGGAGGTAGAAAATTTATCAAACAAAATGCAGAGAAATGAAACTAGGCAATATAAGCAACGGGTTAGCATTGGATGTTCCCAAGATGGGATATATTCAATTAACGTAAATGCTGTTGTTTTAGAAGTAGGATTCTTAGAGGTTGTCGGTAGTGCCCTCTACACTGATATCAAAAAATTAAACGGTGACACTGAAAAAGTATTGAAGTGTATGCAAATTTCTATTCATTATCAACGTCAACACTATTTATCACGTGGGGCTACTGAACAACAAGTATCCTTGGTAGAATCATATGGAATTGTCGTCTACCGTAAGTAACATATATTTAGGACTACATATTTATTAAAGTTATTGCAAGCCTTACGTTCTTTTTATCAATCTTAGATCGAACATTTACAATTTATGTAATGCATCGAACAAATGAAGGTCTATATGTTGTTGATACTTTAACCGAATTTAGTATACCAAATACTAAGGATCAGTTGTACATCTTGAAAGAAGTAATCGAAAATGTTTATTTTTTTAAGGTATATATTTTGACAGCCTTGTCGTATTTTGTTTTTTACGTATTCACGCGTCTGTATTATTTTTGGCATAACAGAGTCGAGTAATGGACTATTATCTAACTGTTCAGAAAATCGTTCCTTATACTAAAATTCACGTTGGAATAAATGAATCGCCTGTTGAAGCATCACCCTCTAAAGCTTCGATGCTTTTAAAAACTTCTGATTAGCATATGAATGTGCGTATGCCATACACCACAAAATTAAATAGAAAGTCACGTGCGCGTTACAATTTGTAACGCCGATCACTTTGCAGAAAAAAGTATTGTCTGCGTCATATTACTGCGCCCTTGTGACTTGCATGTCATGGATAATTGTATCGATATAGTATTATGCGTATGAAAAGTATTATATTAATAAACTTGTAATTAATTTGCTTTATTTTACAAATAAAATATAAGGCACATAGATGACGGATAATACATGATAAAATACAGTTAAAAAAATTATCTATCATTTGTATTGCGGAGCAATGAGACTTAGTCTCTAATTTTTTGTATGCGACGTTTCTTAACTTCATGCTCATCGCACATTGTAATCCTATCCCTTAATAACCCCACAACGACTCCAATTACTTTTTTCACGCCTCTTCTAATCGATTCAATATCTTCCACTAATGCTGTTTTGGATAAATTGATCCGATATTCACTTTTGCTGGTACAATATAACCCTTCCGTAGCAAGCTTAATAAAATGCCATTCCGTAGCTAAAGAAAAAATAGGGTTAGAGACCCATTACAAGGTAATAATAATCGATCAAAGATAGGTTAATGCCAGAGTGTATAGCCCGTAGCTGCGAAGCGATAAATCTGAGATAAAGACGTTAATAAAGTTATTTATACCTGTAGAAACTATTCCGTAAATATAATCATCGTCATTTTCAAACGCTTGATCTGCGGTTCGTTTTCTTCCCTTATTCATATGGCTTGCACTCTCCAGTTGCTTTATGTTTTGGAGGTAACCGATTTCGACATTGCGTGGCTTTCCCTCAGCTATACAGATAAGATCTTCACACCCTTTGATTGAATAATCAACACGCCCAACACTATCTTCACCAGATACATCATCTTGGTACGCAATATATATTTCTTCATCGTTGGTAAGTTTTCGAGTAATTGCTATTGATGCATTTAGGATTGATGTAATAAAAATACAACGGGTGGCTTCATTGGTACTATCTTGCATGGTTTCCAGATTCGAAAGTCTTAATACAATTTCTCTCATACACTGTTTAAGAGCTTTGTTAGCATCATCGATTTCTTCAGATGCTATAGAAAGAAGTTAACAAATAACAAAAAACAGACACGTATTGGCTAGGAATAATTTTGCGTAAATTTACCTGGGCTAAATTGATTTATACATGTAATTTTTCCACCGTTGACTTGATACTTGCGGAGAACGTCTTTTAGCTCATCCAGTGTTTTGTAGGACGAGAAACTTCGTATCTTTTGTTCTGGTAGCTCTTCGGCAAAATCAGAAAGTCTAGTTGCTGGTCCCAACGCAAAGCCAATACTTCTAAGTTTTTCTTCTGTTAATTTGAGAAAGTCACGACCGGAAATTCTCTCATTGCGAAATATCTTGAAATCCGCCTCGATAAGGTCTAATTCTTCCTGCCTCCGCAAATAGTCGATAAGTTCTTCCGTTTTATATTTCTTGATCACGTCCTCCATCGTTCGAGTTGTCCTTTCTTCCGTCAAAGTAGAGGATGTAGAAACTGGCGACGAAGGTGAAGACATATTTTTTATATTGGTATATGGCGTAAAAAAATCTGGTTTATGCACTGCGCTTATGAAGTGAGATAATGTAATGTAGAAAAAAGAATTTTCGTTTTG